AGCAGCAGCAGCAGCAGCAGCAGCAGCAGCGGCAGCAGCAGCGGCAGGAGCGGCAGCAGCAGCGGCAGCGCAGCACAGCACACCCCGGATTAGCTTGCTGCTGCTGCTGACTGCGCTGAAGTGCTGCTGCGGCTGCTGTGCGTGCTGCTGCTGCTGCTGCTGCTGCAGCCGCGCAAACCCTAAACCCTAAACCCTAAACCCTAAACCCTAAACCCTTCGTTCGTTACCTTCTTCTGCAACGAAACGAGGAAAACGGGAATGGCAAGAGCAACAGCAAGTGCTGCTGCTGCTTTAAAAGCATTAGAAGTCAGCAGCACGCCCAGGGGGTCTGTAGATACACCCCAAGCTAGGGTTCCTGCTGCTGCTGCTGCTCCCACGGCCTGCGTGGCGAGGGAGGTGGACGTTGCTGCTGCTGCTGCTGCTGCTGCTGTTGCTGCAGCAATTGAACGCACGCGAGACGCCTCCTCCACCCCGCGGAATAGCAGCTGCTGCAGCAGCAGCAGCAGCAGCTCCAGCAGCAGCAAAGAGGAGCACCAACGCCAGCAGCCGCGCAGCAGCACAAACAGCGACACTGTGGGGAAGCCGCAGTACGCCGCCTGCGCACAAACCCTAAACCCTAAACCCTAAACCCTAAACCCCAAGCCTTTAACCCTAAACCCCAAACCCTAAACCGTAAACCCTAAACGCTAAACCCTAAGCCTTAAAACCTAAACCCCACACGCTACTCCTCCATAGCTCACAAGCATGGACTCCAGAGAAGCCGAGGGTTTGGCGAGCTGCAGCTGCGGCTGCTGCTTCTGCTTCTGCTTCTGCTGCTGCTGCTGCTGCAGCTGCTGCAGCTTGAGGTGTATAGCCAGCCGGGCCTCGGGCAGGTGCAGCGGGAAAATGTCTTTTACAATTCCCGTGGCAAGGCAGACGTCCAAAACCCCCAAACCCTAAACACAAACCCTAAACCCTAAACCCTAAACCCTAAACCCTAAACCCTTGAACGCCGGGCCACAGGCAAGTCTTCAACGCCGCGAATCCCGCGAGGGCCTCGCAGCTGCGTCCCAGCTAGCTAGCTAGCTAGCTAGCTAGCTAGCTGAGCCCGCGTCCAAACCCTTAACCCTAAACCCTAAACCCTAAACCCTAAACCCTAAACCCTAGAGTGCACCTGCAAGGACTGGAAAGGAGCGTCAATCCCAAAACGCATCGCCAGCAGCTCCCCCAGCAGCAGCTCGGCTTCTTCGTGGGGCGTCAGAAACGTCTCGGGGTCCTCGCTGCACCCAAACCCTAAACCCTAAACCCTAAACCCTAAACCCTAAACCCTAAACCCTAAAGGTGTGCCTGCAGCTCTCTGCGCCACCCCACGGCCTGCGCGCGCCCCGCCGAGACGCGGAGGCCGCTCCCCCTGCAGCTGCAGACCCCAAACCCTAAACCCCAAACCCTAAACCCTAAACCCTAAACCCTAAACCCTAAACCC